CCTGGTCAAGGCAATGCCTTTCAAAATTGATTTTTCATGAATTTTCTTGAATCCAATGTAAGTGACTCCCTCTCTGTTTTCAACATGCTGAGTTAATAAACTCTGTCTTGAATAAACAATGCAAAATGTAAGATTTTATTCATGCAAATAAAATATAATCTTACGTGCTTACCAGTCAGGTAGAACTTGAAAATGAAGCTTAATTTATACCCTGAACCATTTTGCAGACTGATAGATGTTGCTGTGTTTAATGACAAAGGGTTCAATTGTTGTTTGTCAATTAGAAACACTCAGCAGGGGAAGAAAGTGTGGCCCTACCAGGATCTCAATGCTGCCATGGTAACCAGACTGTTCTCACTGCCTTAATAGGGCTGAAGGTTATTTCCAGAGTGAGACAGAAAGGGCTCTGAAAATGCATACGCCACCTATATGTTTCCTGCTTGTGCTACTTAATATAAAAAATGTAGTGTTCCTAATTTTGACATTTTAATTATATAAACAAATTTGGTGGGGAAGTTCAAGGGCCCGGAGTGATTTGGCCTCTATGGTATGCACACAAAAGTGCCAGGACCACACTACAGCCACGCATGCTGCACTGTTCCTTCGCTCACCCGCAATTGGACTTCCATCCCCTCCAGGGGTAGCTCCAGGTAGTAAATGGTGCTCCTGGAGCACCTGTAACCACAAGAAATGCCTTTTCTCTGTATTTGGGAGTAAGGCACGGAGCTCTGAGTGTGTCTCAGACAAATTAGAGAAATCTCAGTCCAAAGGCTTCACAAAGAAAGCAGCAGTGGTATAAAATTCTCCCTCCTCCAAGCCAGGCCCACACAGGGAGCATTCCAATTCAATGAGGCTTATGCCCAGCCGTGGGGAGTCCCTGCCCATGTTAATGGTCTTTCCTTAAGCAGCAGTTTAAGATGCTTACCAGAGGGGCAGCTCTTGAAGGCTCCAGGCTCGGTCTAGGAGCAGTGGAATACATGTAGTTAAAAAGACGATCTATTTTTCGAAGGGGGACGCCACCACCTAGGTCGCTGATCTGTAATGGAGGAGAAAGAAGAGGAGGGGGTGGTGGTGAAGTTGGGGGAGGGAGGAGTCATTCCAGACTTAATAGGAGACAAGTTTATTAAATAAAGCCATATGAGGTTACTCTCAAGTGTACAAGGGCTTTGAGCCCCCAATGAAATATGAACAGTGTAAAACAAAGGAGGTAGGAAAGTGTCATGGGATCTCACGGGCTTGGGTTTGAGACCCTGTTTAGCTCCCTGAAACACAGGCTGCTAATAAAGTTTAAACGAGGTAACTTAAGTCAAAGATCTAACATAGTGCTTGGCGAATACCGACATTCAGCAAATGTCAGTCTTCTTCCCTTCCCTCTGATTCCACAATGTCTAGATACTATGACATGAACTGACAATTAAAGTGTATGTACAAACAAAGCAGTTACCTTAACGGACAAGTCTTCTTTACCCAGAGTGACAAGGGTTTTAACCGCTGGGTAGGCCTCTTTTCTGTCTTCATAGAGTTCAACTGTTGCTCTCATTGAGTTCTGAAATAATAAGCCCTTTTCTTTACAACCTTCACAAACCACAATTAAAAAAAAAAAAAAAACTCACACGAGCTTACTTATGCACTATTTTTTGTGGGGGTGGGTGGATATTGGTTGCATTTATATGACATTTTTTCCCTCTAAAGAACTTAGCTCAATGTGGGTTCAGATCATGGAAACACTCCCTGGTGCTTTGTTTTTCATCTAGTTTAAGTCCCATCTACCATACTGCACATCGATTCCCCCCCCCCTTTTTTTTGTTAATCCATTGATATTTTTCCATTGATATTTAGAGAGAGTGGAAGGGAGGAGAAGAGACAGAGAGAAACATCGATGTGAGAGAGACACATCGATTGGCTGCCTTCTGCAATGCGCCCCAACCAGGGCCGGGGGTCATGCCTACAACCCAGGTACGTGCCCTTGACCAGAATCAAACCCAGGACCCTTCAGTCCACAGGCCGACACTCTATCCACTGAGCCAAACTGGCTAAGGCTTTCCTCCCTTTTTTCTTTTAGTTTAACTTTAGGGTATTCAAGCCATTCGACTTTCAACCAAGAGGAATGTTTTCATCGTGTGGCACAAGGCCGCAGAGCCTCACTGGTGAACCTGAAATCTACTTATCAGCCTGCAGTTTCAGAGTGCCTTTCCTCTAAAACAGCCGTGGGCAAACTATGGCCCGCGAGCCGGATCCAGCCCATTTGAAATGAATAAAACTAAAAAAAAAAAAAAAAGATGCAGGAGGCGCTGATCGATGTTTCTCTCTCATTGATGTTTCTAACTCTCTATCTCTCTCCCTTCCTCTCTGTAAAAAATCAATAAAATATATTAAAAAAAAACCCATTGTGGCCCTCGAGTCAAAAAGTTTGCCCACCCCTGCTCTAAAAGCAGGTGGAAAACCTGCTTCCCACAGAATGAATCATTTGGTTGAAAAAAAAAGTGGAAGACGCCAGTTAAAAAGAAGCCACAGCTGTTGAGGAGAAAGTTCACAACTGAATGCCCATCTCCACCTTTGAGTGTTGCATTAATAACAGCATCGTTTTGGGGAAGCAAATCAGCATAAGTGATTTTCAGGTGTTCAATTTAGGGTTTCGCACATAGTGGCAGAAATGAAATTTTAGCTCCAAAGCCTTGTGCCTGTAATTCTGCTACTGTAAATGCCATTAGTTACTGGTTAACAAAAGCAGCAGCTTAAGCCAGAGAGATTCTAAAGACTCTTTTTTGGGGGGAGGGTCTTTTTTGGTTTAATCCTTCCATATCTTTCTCCTCTGCCTCTGTCAGATCTTCTGAATTAATTTGAATATGTAAAAGGGTTACGGTAGCTCTCAGGACTAGAACAACTACTAATGCACCAGCACAGTTAATGTTCAGAGGCGTAAATATGTGTAAAATTGTTTTTATGTTGATCCATGTACCATCAATAAAACCTTGCCAGGTTTGGAAACTAAAAAGCATCTCTAATCTCCTAACTGAAGAAAAAACAGTATGGATTTTACATCAAATCACTAAAGTACAATTAAGCTTCAAAATCAATATATACTAATATTCACGAAGGCTACACTGTACACAGCAATTTTTCAGCTCACAGTGTACAAATTATAAAACCCACAGGATATCAGAAATAGAATTTTTTAAATGGTATGCAAAATCTTTTTCTTATGCTAATGTAATGAATCCATTATGCCCTGAATCAAAGTAATTTAAAATGAAGACTTCTTCCCATGTTGTTAAATTCCACTTACCTTGAACAACTCAAATAGCATGTGAAACAGATGTGAGGGCACATAAACTACCTGAATAGGTTTGCCTGGAGCTTTGGCTGAAAACAGAGACAAAATCGTCAATGAATAAGGACCCAAACTAGAAGAAAGTAAAAAATGTTTGCATTCTATTTTCTGAGTGCATAAAAAGGAACTCTACAAAAGGCTAATTTAGGTTTCCACCTCTAAAGGCAGGGCTGAGCGAATGCTTTTGAAGTCCAACAAATTTTTTTTTTTTGGGGGGGGGGAAGGCATCCAGTTCCTTTACTTACCAGCTATGTGACCCTGGGCAAATTATTCAAATGCTTTAGAACTTAGTTGAGTAATATTGGAATATTATCACCTACATTATAATGTTCTAAGCATTACATAATGCCACCCAAATATCACTCTGGTGTTTTTTTTCTTTTTAAAATGGTGAGCGAGAATCATTCATCAGCTGCCTCCTGCACGCCCCCTACTGAGAATCGAGCCTGAAACCCGGGCATGTGTCCTGACCAGGAATTGAACAGGTGACCTGTCGGTGCACAGGAGGATGCTCAACCAACTGAGCCACACCAGCCAGGGCTCATTCACTGTTTTTCAAATTGGGAGACACCCACCCCTACTACTGACCCCAGTGGTCAGCAGGAGGAATGTGAAGCCACAGATGAAAGGGGGCACATCTTTTTGGTGAATTAGACTAAAGAGCAATGTTAAATTATGACAAACAAGGCATATTATAGAGTAGAATGTAATGTTCACATGACTTTTCTACTAGGAGCTAACAGACAGCCCCCTGGAGATCTACAGTCCTTTCTCCTTGCATCAATGATTTTCTGGGGAAATCTAAGAAATGCCTAATTCCATGTCAAGCACTAAGAACAGTGTGAGCTACTGAGAAGATGCTAGAAAATGTAGTCCTCGTAACCTGAAATCACTTAAGAGACTGAAACTATGTGAACTTTCTTAAGTAGACCACAGACATACCCACCCATGTTATAATTTCAACCTAACTACTTCCTCTAATAAAGTACATAATTAACAGCATAAAGTAGAGAGAACATTTGTTTGGTTCTTAGTTTACAAAGAGCTTGAACGTACATTATCCAATTGAATCCTTGTGATAATACTGTGTGCCTCGTAGGGTGGGTGGCATTATTATGGGTGAAGACACAGCTTTGCAGAGGCTACGTGACTTGCCCACCAGAACAGAAGAGGCACTAAAACTGGACACCTGAACCAAGAGCTTTTGTGATTCTAAATCCTGAACCCTTTGATAATCAGTTATTTTTTAAATTACTAAGTTAATATATACAAATGATTTTAAAATTTGTTAAAAAGAAAACAAGTCCCTCCACCCTTTCCTATCTAACCCCCCAGACTGCACCCAGAGGCAGCCAGTGAACTCTTCTGTACTTTGCCTATAGATTCTAGACCGATCACTGCAGAGCACCCACAACAATGTACCAGGATAACATTTCCTTCCCTGTGATTCCCATGAAATGATCCATGCATCACTTGAAGAAGAATGTTCTTAGTCTTAAGGTGAAATGGATTCTCTTTATCGTCCTCCAACTGCTTAAAATCAGACTACCTTTTTTAAGTCGCCGAATATTTGGACCATGTCTTTCTGATACAGGCTTACATATTTCCCAGAACTTCTAACTACTCTTCCTCTTGGGTAACTGCACAAGAAACTTATGCTTTCCTCTCCATATCACTAAAAATCTTCCAGCTTTTTATTCTACTGCATGGTACCTACTCCATTCTTAAGGACTTTTCAAATTAGAATCAACTGCTTTCCAAACATGCTGCATAGCAATCATCCTCAAATCGTTTTTGATTGAAGTTCTAGAATGTTTTTGCTACTTTTTCTATCCCTAGTAAACACACCATCAAGACCGTCAGATAACCAACCTCAAAAAGGTGTGCAAGGGAGGTACATTTCTCAATCCTTAGTCCTCTGATTCACGTGATTGAAAGTTTGGCTGGGTACAGAATTCTTCATTCAAAATCATTTTCTCTCAGAATTTGGAAAGGGGGTGGGCCTGACAATGCAGCTGCTAAGTTTAAATGCCAGTCACATTTTCATTAACACTGCTGGTTTTCACCTGAGGCCTGATGCACCTTGGTTGTAATATTCTTGTTGAAGAATGAGGGACTGGATTAATCATTTCAGGTAGCTCTAACTTACACCAACTTCCAACTAACCCCTACCCTTTCACTTCCCATTTCAGTCCTTTGCACCTCCTGGCTCTGCTCCTGGAGTCCCTCCAGGATAACCTGTGGCAACAGGTACCATCTCTTCTGCTGCCTCCTTTGTGGCTTCTTCTGCTCGACATATTTCCCTTTGGTTACCCTAGCGCAGTGGTCAGCAACCTCATTAGTCAACAGAGCCAAATATCAACAGTACAACGATTGAAATTTCTTTTGAGAGCCAAATTTTTTAAACTTAAAACTATATAGGTAGGTGCATTGTTATTAACTTAATTAGGGCACTCCTATGGCTTAGGAAGAGCCACACTCAAGGGGCCAAAGAGCCGCATGTGGCTTGCGAGCCGCAGTTTGCCGACTATGGCCATATGGCAAGAGGCGATATCAGTGGGCCACTGATGAACCTCCTGGTTGCTTTGCTGTTTTTGTTTGGAGTACACTAAATGTTTGTTTGGACTAAAAGGCATGACTAGCTATATAAACAGCCTTCTGAATTCAACCTTTCTCACTCGAAATCTCAGGGAAATTAAAATACCTTTCATAGTTTTATTGTGTGTGTTTTAGTTCAATCAACACTCTCTAGGAGCCTTCTGAAGACTTGCTCAATGACTTGGACTTTTCTTTGGGGGCAACATAGTTTACATGTCTGTCCTTCCCTTTAAAGCCATGCCAAATGTTTTGTCCATGACTCTTTTCTAATCCCGGATCCAGGAGCTTTTATGTAGTGGACTCTTAATAAACATTTGCTGACTTTTTTAAATAAGATACAAATGGAATATGAATGTTCCATCTAAAGGTACATTTTAAAAAGTCAATGAAAAAAACTATCCAGGTTTTTCATGCTCGAGACTTAATGAAGTCTCTCTTTTGCACAGTCATTGCTCCAAATATCATTCATTAAAACAACATCTATTAAGTACCAAGAGAACGCTACATAAGATATGCAATTTTTTATTTTCAGACAATTTTCCTATAAGAATGAAAAAATAATGGAAGCTACAAAGAAAAAAAAAATGCATTCAAGGGAAAAGGGTTAATATCCAAAATTTATAAAGAACTCATATAACTCAACACACACAAAAAAACCCATCCAATTAAAAAATGAGCAGAGGACCCAAATAAACACTTCTCCAAAGAGGACATACATATGAAAAGATGTTCACTAATCATCAGCAAAATGCAGAGCCAGTACACTCAGCGGACAGCCTCAGACCACATCGACGCACCACCCGACTGCCTCCACAGTGACTCACTCAAAAGGCGGACCCAGTGGGCACCACAGCCTTCCCCAGAACATCTGCTTCCAAGTTCTCCAAAGCCAGAAGAAGGGCTTGAAGTATGGAAAAACTGGGCTCAGAACAAGAACGCTGAGCTAGAGACGGATACTCAGAACAGACTGGCGCACATTGGGAGACGCCAGCTTCTGCGATTCCAGGAAGATCTCATCTCTTCTGCTGTGGACAACTTGAATTATGGTCTCTGTCTAATGACACTGGAGGCTCGAAATGGAGAAGGTGAACCCTATGATCCAGATATACTCTACTATATTTTCCTGTGCATTCAGAAGTATCTTTTTGAAAATGGATGGGTTGATGACATTTTCTCAGATCTTACGTTCGATTCACAGAGTGGCTACATGAAGTACTGAAGGATGTTCAGCCCCAACTAACTCTACTTTTGGCTATGTCCTGCCCAGCCAAGTGCCTGAGGAGCCCCTTTGAACTAAGTCCTGCTCTGTGGGGTGGACCCAGCACAGCTGATCCTCCACAGTGGTCGTAGCCAGTCTTTGCAACCAACTGGCCTAGGGGTAAATCCTTCCCATTGAAAAGCCAACAGCAATCAAGGCTCAACTACAACAGAAGGGTGCACACAGCCCCCACATGGGGTACACCTGGAGTGCCCTGCTTGGGTGACTGGAGAGACTGAGCCACTGAACCCTACAGGACACATACTATACAAGGCCACTCTGCCAATTCCAGGAGACAAAGCAGCTCTACCTAATACACAGAAACAAACACTGGGATGCTGCCAAAATGCAGAGGCAAAGAAACATTCCAAGATGAAGAAAAAAAAACAGAAAAAACAAAACTCCAGAAAAAGGAGAAAAACAATCTACTAGATGTAGAGTTAAAAACACTGGTTATTGTATGCATGCATATAAGCATAACCAATGGAGTGACTCTACCAACCCCAGGTAATATAGCTAGTACATAGAAGGAAACACAAGTAGGCAGGCAAAATGAGGAGACAAATATATATGTCCCAAATGAAAAAGCATAACAAAATTCCAGAAAAAGAACTAATAATAGAGACAGCAATAAAAAAAATATCAAAAAAAACACACTGGTTATAAGGATGCTCAATTAACTTAGGGGAAGAGTAGGTGAAATTAGAACTTCCATAAAAAGATAGGAAACTAGAAAACAAAAAATAAACAGAAATGAAGATTACATTACAGGGAATCAACAGTGAAGTAGCTGAAGCAGATATTCAAATCAGAGATTTGGAAGATAAGGAAGTAGAAAACATACAATCAGAACAGCAAAAAAAAAAAAAAAGAATTCAAAAAATGAGGATAGTGTAAGGATAACTTCAAGCATACCAACATTTGCATCATGGGGGTGCCAGAAGAAGAAGAGAGCAAGATATTGAAAACCTATTGGAAAAAATAATGACAGAAAATTTCCCCTACCTGGTGATGGAAAAAGACATACAAGTCCAGGAAGCACAGAGAGTCCCAAACAAGATGAATTCAAAGAGGCCCACACCAAGACACATCATAATTAAAATGCCAAACATTAAAGACAAAGAATCTTAAAAGCAGCAAAAGAAAAGCAGTTATCTCATAAGCAATTACATAATA